TGTGAGCACCTTGTTGCACAGCAGGCATTTCTCATCATCCCTCCACCTCTCCTGTGGCAGCTTGCGAAAGAAGTTAGGCTTGACCTCTTCAGCTGGCCCTTTTTGCAAGGGCTGAGGTGTGGCCTTTGCTGTTGCTTGCCTTTTTTCCAAAGGCTTGATTTCTTTTTTCACTTCTTTTTGTTCTTCTGGCCTTTTTTCCAAAGGCTGTGTATTTTCATCAACTTCTTTTTGTTCTTCTTGCCTTTTTTCCAAAGGCTTTGCTTCTTCTCCTGGCCTTTTTTCCAAAGGCTGCTCTACTGCTGTGGCTTCCTGCCTTTTTTGCAAAGGCTCTTCTTCCTTCACTTTCTCTTCTCCTTGCCTTTTTTGCAAAGGCTCTTCTTCCTTCACTTTCTCTTCTCCTTGCCTTTTTTGCAAAGGCTGAGCCCCATCCTGTTCTGGTGGGGCTGCCACAGCTGGAGCTGCCTGAGCCTTGGCTTTGGCAGCCCTCACAGCTTGCCTTTTCCAGGTGGTGGACCCCTTCCCTTTGAGCCTGCCTCTTTTGTTGTAGGGGTTCCACCACTCTGCATCTTCTTCCCATATGTCTTTCGACCACTTGTAGGGCATGGCACAGCCCTTTTTTCAAGGGTTCCCTGTTTGCAAGGGATACCCTTTTTTCAAGGGTTGCCCTTGTTTCAAGGGCTGGTTGTGTTTCCTATGTCTTTGTCTTTGAGCTTGAAACAGCTGCAGAAAAACACACATGTGTACATGTGTACTGGACAACCCTAGTGCACATGTGTTCTGAAACAATTCCAACCCTAGTGTAGAAAAAACACACATGTGTACATGTGTACTGGACAACCCTAGTGTACATGTGTTCTGAAACAATTCCAACCCTAGTGTACATGTGTTCTGTTACAATTCCAACCCTAGTGTACATGTGTTCTGGAAAAATTCCAATTTTTGGTGTGCCAACCCTTAAGGTTCCAAGTTCATGCTTGAACCCTTGGCTTGCTTGGGCACATGTTTTTGGCAAGGGGCCTGAAAGCTCTGTTAAAAAAAGCTCCTGTACAAGTGGTGTCAAAAACACTCCCTTTTTACAAGGGTTCCCTCACTGCCTTGCTGGGCTTCTTCACAACCCCTTTTTTCAAGGGGTGGTGGCCATTCAGCTTGGGTGCCTTTTTTGCAAAGGCTTTGCACAATGCAATCATCTGACCAACTTTGATCTCAAAGCAATAGCATCTCCCTTTGTTAGTTTTTTTTCTTCCATGTCTTTCTTGATTCTGAGAATGATACCTTTGTGGTCCTTGGACCACTTGGCTGGGACCTCCACCACCAACCTTCTTTGTGTGCTCCCTTCTTGGCAGCCAGTGAGGTAAGTTCTCTCTGGATCTTTGGCACTAGTCACCCTCAGGCTAACCCAACTTTTGCTTGGGTCTGGCCCAGCTGTTTTTTTATCAATGGCTGGCCTTTCTTTTTTGCCTTTTTTGTCAAAGGCTGCCCTTTCTTGGGTGACATTTTTGTCGAAGGCTTGGCAGCTGGCTTTTTATGGGCTTTGCTGCCAAACCCCATTGCTGTCTGCAATTCCCAGTGGTCAAGAACAGGGACCATGGCTGTGCTTGAAGCTCCTTTTCCTTTTTTCAAGGGATGTGATAGGCCTGTGCACTTGGTGTCTTTTGTGTCTTTTGGGCTTTTCAGGATATTGGGGAAACCATCACTGTCAAGGCTTGCATCGCTTACCCTTGCTTGGAGTACCTTCAGGCCTTTTTCCAAGGCCTCTTCTTCCTTCTGTATTATCTTGCTGGTCACAGCTTCCAGCAGCTGGTACTCCCTGGCAGTCAGTTTGGCTGCACAGATTCTCTGAACTTCTTTATCTCTTGCTACCTTTCTTGTGTGGCACAACAGTACAGTGATTCTCTCTGCTTTCTGGTTTGACCAGGTGTTGCCATTGAACTGTGTTTTGTTCAGAGAGATGTTGGAGGTTAGTAGGTTCATCAAGGCTGTCCTGAGAACTGATGCTTGCAATTCACATGTTGGAGATACTTCGATAATGTCCTCCAGGAGGTGCCTGACTTGCAGCAGGCCATGAGGTTGGACTGCACTGGCCCTTGACACTGTTTCATAGGCACCCAGGTCTTTGACTACTTCTGCATTGTCTTTCAAAATTTTGAGCACAAGACCTGGGTCCACTGAGGGTTTGGCAAAGTTCCTGGCCCCTCCCTTTACCATTTTTTCAATGGTTGTTAGAAGTTTGGACTTCACACCTTTTTTCCAAAGGCCCAACCTTTTTTCCAAAGGTCACACCTTTTTTCCAAAGGTCACACCTTTTTTCCAAAGGTTCGAACAATTGTTCTGGCTACAAGCCTGATCAATTTGGGCCAACAGCAGCACATATAGCAGCACCAACAACACCTCCAAGACATTTCCACTAGCAAATACACAGCATTTCATGAAACTCCAAAGCCATGTCTTGACAGGATGTGGCTGGCCCTGAGACACCCACATCCAAAATCAATATCAAATTCAATAAGGGTTTCAATAACTCAATCAATATTTTTGCTCAAAAGCAGCAAAATTGGAAAATTGAAATTTTCAATTTTTTCAAACCATTCAATATCAATATTTTTTTAATCAAAAATATTGATCCTATTCAATATCGGATGCTCAGGGAAGGTTTCTTTGCTGAAATCCCAGAATCGGGTGCAAAGAGCAAAGAGTTTAGGACCACATCCGGTACGAGGTTGTGGAAGACAACGAATGAAGATACAGATGGGTGCCTGTCCTGGAAGGGGCTGGTTAGCCTGCAAACACGACACGGTTGGAACTTGATTCTCACTCTAGTGGTCTCCCATGGTCTTCCCAGTTGATATTGATAGAAACGATGTCCAAGTCATTTTTGTTTGTTGTTGTTGTTGTTGCTGTTGCTGTTGTTGTTGTTGTTGTTGTTTAATTGACATAATGACAGTGGATTTACGTTAACATTGTTTTGAGGCGACACCCGTGGTCTTATCAGCCCCCTTCTGTGAGAGATGCTGAGATGAGTGCTGAGATGATTGCTGAGACAAGGCATGGTAGGCTGGTGTGAACGTGTCTTCGATGTGCCGACTCCTGCCAAACATGGAAAGAGGAAGTCATCTTCCAGAATCTGTCCGTGGCACATGAACAACCTATTAGGATATATGATATATAATAGTATCATTTATGAGAGACTCAGTGTACGTGTTCAACGTGTTCCTTCCCGTTGCTTTCGGACGATCACTGGGTTCAGAACTGACGATCACGTTCCCGTCTTCATCCGTGCCGAACTCGCCGGGTGGCCGGTGCCAAACGCGTCTTCCAGGTCGACCTTCGTCAGTGCCAAACCCAGACACGACCCAATGACTGGGGGGCATATGACACCCGATGAGTCTGGGGTGCATATGACTCACAACCCAGTGAACCCCATGCAGGTCCGATGTAAATATGCGGTTCGTCCCATCGTTCCGGACGTGGAGTTGATCGGAACTGGCCTCCGAAGAGAGCGATGCAGGGTGAGGGAGGGCGGAGGGGCGGAGGAGATGGAGCTGATTCAAGTTGGCTGCTTGAAGCCTCCCAGACTTGTGCGACCCGGAGAATGAGGGGGGATCCCAGCTGATGGCGAAACTTTACTCAGTCAGTCCCTAGTAGCTTCTTGTCGCACGGGTCCGGTGAGGCTTCACTGTTTCACGCCATCAGCAGGGTGACGCAGCTGCGCTTGAGGTGTGAGCGCCGACACAGTCGGAGGTGCACGTGCACGAAGCCAGCCTCGCAACTCACCCGACGGGCCTTGCAGCGCCAGAGGGCTCAAAACATCAAGCGGCAGCTCTGTGACCAAGGGACGTAGACGTACACTGCCTGAAATCATCGCTACATGAAATCCCGATCAATCAGGTGGCAAACTCCACTTTCATGATTACTTCAAGGAGTGTACCACTGACGCCCGCTCGTGAGAAATGACGGGAGTAATAAAGAGTCTTTGGCGCCACAATTTCCAGACACTCCATGGGACTGGCATAGTTGCAGACACTTACGCCACTGATGACCCTAAATAGGTAACCATTCCATACATGGAGTGTCGAGGTTGGCCTTTCGGAGCTCTGGACCGCATTGCAGCGCACAGATATCCACTCAAATCTGCATCTTCCACGGCGCAACAGATATCGAAACGATCCAGGCCTTCATTCAATGTCATTCTCCCATGGTCATCAGACCTCATCCGTACCAGACTCTCCGGATCTCTCCGGCTTCGTCCGAAGCATCCCTCGGTAGTGAGTGGTTTCAGGCCGTCTGCGTGGGGGAGACCCCGAGTTCTGCCGCGCCTCCGACTGGATCCCAGGGGAGAGGATGATTAGCTTGGAGGCCTATGGGCGTGATCGATGTCTTGCATGTCTTGCAGAACATCACTCCACTGGCCAGTGGAGGCATCACATGCATCGTTCGATGAGGCAACAGTACGGAGTCTTGGCCACTGATCGACTCCGGTGCATCCCGCTTTCTTCGGGTGCAACACCATGCAACAGCCTTGCAGCGCTTGCAGCTGGGGGACGGAGCGCTTCAAGATAGACCCCAAAGATGCGCTCAATTCAGCTCCTCAACCGGAGTTCCTTGTGAGACGAGACTAAGGACAAGAGTTCAAGATCACTGCGTCGATCAAGATGTTATCTTGGCTGTGGATTTTCTAGATCACCAGTGTGGGACGCATGTCCAGTGGTTGAAGTCTGACCGCAGTCAAGCAGCAAGCAGCTTCTCAGGCAGAATGTGAGTGATGACGGCTCTCAAAGTTTTGCCAGATTCCCTTGTTGTAGGCAGCAACTCTGACTCTGACCGAACGATCACCCACCTGAATGCCACAGAAGTGGCAACCTGGCTTTGGGTAGGGTTGTTTACTGAAGTTTACTGTATATCCCAGACACTCCATGTATGCTATATATGCCTACCCCAATGTAGGCCTACTCCATTGGAGTATCCGTGTTGCCTGCAGATCCTCAGCCCGCCGCCCCCTCCAGGCGGCTACTTCTGTGTCATCACTGAGGGACGAGCTGCCCGGCCTGGAGGAAGTGGTTTCGAAACTGGATGTCTAACAGAAGGGGTTCAAGAGGTTTCACTACCTATACAGTCCGTGGAACTAACATGGAAGTGGAGAATGGCCCCTTGGAAGACCATTTTCCACTACAAACAGGTGGTTTTCCACTTCCATGTTAGTTTTTGGGAGTGTATCCTTTGGAGGCTCAGGAAAATCTATAGAAGATTCTAGAATTTAGCTTTTATTAGGCTGTCTGCGGGGGGTTCTTTGGTGATTGGTGCAATGTGATATCTCGTAGTCTGTTGGAAGACCCAAAAACCTTGCACATGGGTGGCGCTCAATGTTCATGCGCGTTTCTTTGAGTGCAGGCTCATGGCTAGCTTTGCTTTCAGGAACAGCATGTCAGATCGTGGAATGTTCAGGGTGTTCATCTACCTTGCCCGGGACAAGGGACCCGTAATTATGTGGAAGACAGGTCATCCGCCGACTTGTCGGGTTTGTTCTCATACAACCAAAAAAGGTGAGAGTGTTAGTGTTTTTTGTTTTTTATTAAGGCCCCCAAAGGCAACATAGACAACGTCATTCTTGCTGGTTGAATCGTTGAATCGGAATCCTGTTGCTGGAGAAGATCTCTTGCAACCCCTGCTCCACCTAGGCGATACTCGAGTTGGCATCGGAGAACGAGCGCTTGAGGTGCGCCATTGGAGTGACCAACGTTCCAGTGGATAGAGGTTTCATGTCAGATCATCAGTGTAACAGTGGGTTCCAAATCGGATTCCCTAGCAATCCATGGAATATTTGCCTATAAATGCCTATATATACATTGATGTTTAAATGTTTTAAGGGTCAATGTAGGCAAATAGTCAATGGATTGAATGGTTCGGGATTGAATGGTTTTTGCCCTTTCAACAGGACCATTGTATTTGCCAAAGTCAATGGCAACATGTTGTCGCTTTGCCCCAACGGGCATGCGACTGATGAGCATCATGTCATGCCGCAACTGTTTGAGAAATTGCTGTGGGTCATGACACTTCACCATGCATTGGATCAACCGGGAGAGCCCGGGAGAGCCATCCAAAAGGAGCTTTTGACATAAGCTGGCACTGCAACGTCACAGTCATGGCACCAGTATACCTTAGTTTGACCTACCTGGTGTCCGTCGTTCGCGGCGTTCAATGGTGGACCATCGGGTGAACATGGTGGGTCACGACCTATCCCCGATGTTCGGGGCTGTGCATGCATACCATGAAAACCATGAACACACACAAGGGTGTGCAATATACCCTATCTATGGCTCCAACGACCTCCTGAAAAGATGGTTATGCTGGGTTCGCGCGGTCTAGGATATGGTTGGAGCCCTAGGGAATAGAGAGAACTTTCAAGGACCTTTTGAGAAGGAAAGTGGACCAAAGCCATTGGGCCAGTGGATTTCCCTATGAAAATACACAGCCATGAGTGGGATAAAAAAACAGTTCTGAGATCAAGACAGCAAGTAGTCCAGCTACGCCTCTCATGCTTGCCGTTTGGGGTGTCGTCCATGTTCCTCGCAAACCCTCTCGTCACTCGCAGTAAATCAACCGCAAGTGAATCATATATTCCTGATATTCATGTCAAGGGCTAACAACTTCTGTATCCACAAGGATCAAACCTGCCTTGCAGCACCCTTTGGTCGTTAATCCCAGTTGCATACACTTAGACTCAGCAGACGAACGTGGCTTTGGAGTTCTAGTCCGGGTCCGACTGATCGCTCTCTCGCCATAACGAGGCGTCTGGGCGGTGATGCCACTCCAGCAGTCCCCGTGATGCCACTCAGCAGTGGTGGACTGGTCCTCGAGGCGCCACGCCACCCGCGGTCCGGATGCGTGTTTTCAGCGCGTGGATGGTGGAGGTGAGGACCTGTGACTTGCCCAATGCCAGTCACTTAGCCAATGGGCAGTGTCAAATCTCTTCAGAAGTGGGGCCCAGATTCACCCAACATGTTAAATTCTATAGTCGATGGTGAAGGGCCATTCCATTGAGTGTTCCGTAGCTTTGGACTAGTGACTAGGGATCCAGTCGTACCTTCTCAGAAGGTACTTGGACCCTCCAAACCTACATAACAGTGTCTCCAATCACCCTCTCAAAGGGTATGTGCATGCCTAGGCGTAGACGGGATAAATGACGGGAGAGTCACTTTTCTTGATGGACTATAGTCACTGAGACTGAGACTTTGTTGCTCTCCCTCCCGACTCCCTCCCTCCTCCGTCTTGACCGACCACCGGGACTGGGCATGGTCAACCCGGGAGACGAAGGACTGTGGCGGGTGGTGACGAAGGCAGTGAGGGTGCTGGTCAATATGTGTTTACACCGTATACCTGCAGTATTTGGATGGTAAACCGGTCAAGTTTTGACGATACCCATCGTCTGAGTGTTGGCAACCTTCGAACAAGGACCTGGCCGCTCAGTTGGGCTGCCGCGTGCGGGCCTTGTCGCACCTCAAGGCGTGGTGAAAACCGACGGTGACGAAGCCGGAACGCGGAACCGTGAATCCCGGAGGCGGCGCGGAGCTGTCTGGTGACTTAGATGGATTGTACAGATTTCTTCTCTCAAGAAAGGGGAGGAAATCATGGAATGTTGTCTGCTGTAGGGACTACTCATAAGTCAAGTGTTAGTGTGGGGGGGCATAGATTCAGGATTTATGTGTTGGGCATCCCTCGAGTTGTATCAAACAGTTCTTTGGGAGGCATTTGTGTAACTGGGTTAGCCAACCAGGATAACTTCTTTCCATGCTCCGACATGGGCCATTAACTGCAAAAACATTGACGTCATGTTCTCTCACGAGGCGTCCAGCGGTCATGGATTTTGTGCGGCTTTTGAACCATTTACAGACCTTGCGTACTCAATTCAATATGGTATAGACCGTTTCCCATCAATCATAGCTTCGATGTTCCCTCCAATGACTCCAAATCCTGCCACTGGTCTTTAGCATCTGGATATATTTGGATCCAAGTCACAAAACCTGAAGTTCCAGCGGTACAACTCAGAGGAGTCAGACCAATCGTTTGGGTTCTCCCCAAACGGGCTCCTGGCCCATCTCCTCAAGTTTGGTAGGCGCAGACTCCCCTGGCACCCACCATAACCATCTTCAAAACCGCGGTAGGTGGAGCCCTACGGTTCAGCTGTTTTGACAACGCGGGACAGGTGCTTCTGCTGTTCCCACGCACCGACAGGGGCGGCGGTTTACACCTCCACGTCCCGTGGACATCGGACGCTCACACGTGGGACGACACGCCAGGTGCACCGCGTCCGCTACAGCGATTTCAATGTGGCCACTACCTTGGAGTCCTGCTCGCAGGCCTCCCTGGGATGGGATCTGGTAGGATCCGATCTGGTGAAGTTCGGTTCTTGGTATCAACATGGGCTCGACGTGGCAGCTTCTATTTTAGATCGGACATCCACTGGAGGATATAGAGAAGCCGTTTTCAAGCATCATAGTGGCCTGGTCGTCTAAAAGACCTGTCAAGTGGCTGCAACCGGTCGATCGATTGTGTGTATTTTGTGGAGCCATTCAGTATATCCGGGTCATGTTTCGCCAAACAGAAGATGACATCAGCAAGTGATTTTGTTGCAGAGGCTTCAGGTAGGTAGCCATACCCGAGACATTGTTGTGGGATTCCAGACATATGGAATTGATTGAAATGATGCTATTTAAATGGTGTTTATTTCATTACCTGGGTCTTCCATGGTCGGTCTTCCTAGCAGCTATGTTTTTTCTCTGCCTTTACAACTGCTTTTTGTTCAAGCATACACCAACTACTTTTTGTCTTGAATCTTGAAGCATGTGTTTGCATTGCAATGTTTTTTGTTGCTAAGTCAAGGGTTTGAATCGGCGACCTCGGCTCACTGCAGCAACCTCCACAAACACCGTGAAATGGCACTCTTCAACTGAAACGGCACTTTTTTGATGGAGAAACAAACTGAAATGTGTATGGTTTTGGCCACCTGCAAAAAAATAAACCCGTGGAAGGTCCAGGTATATATAGAAGCACTGAGTTTAGATTCCACCAAAGATGGGCTTCATGTTGAGACCAGGTCTCAGGAGTTCTATAACCATCCCCCAGGAAAAGGTGGAATAAGCTTTACGTTGTCGGGTTTTGGGTAACATGGAGAGGTGTCCCCACCGAAAAAGGTGAAGAAGTGGAGAGTTTGGTGAGGATGTTCCAAAAATATCTACCTTTTGAGTCATCATTTGATTAGACCACATGTGTGCTTTTCCTTGTCGTTGGTCAGGAGTGGCTGGCACGCTTTCGGATGCTGGAAGCAGATACCCAGGAGCGACGGGGAGGTACTTGTAGAGAGGATACTCAGGTTTCAAAGGAAGTCACCGGATCGAATTCCAGCGGAGGCGCCTCGCAGCTCAATCAGATTGACCTAAAGCCTTCAAAGAGAAAGGTGTAGCAGAGCTTTGAAGACAAAAGACCTCTCCAATTCAAGGACATGGCAAAAGTACCTGGATCATCCTGTTTCGGTGTCCAATAGGCTACCGTACACTGCTTGTGAACCTCCGTTGGACACCCATTGGATGATCCCCATGACAAAAAAACGCACCTGACCGGGCTAGGAGCGTGCAAGGAGTGCAAGAGCTGTTGGAGAATCACTGGGTGGTGGTTTCAGATATGGGCATTGATGTGTCAAAACCTGTAGCGAAAGACATTCCAGGTCAACCAAGTTATCCTGGTGCCATGACCCACAGCGTGTTTATGTTCAACATGGTTCAACCTTTACTTGAGATGATTCATCGCACTGACTAATACTGTTCAATGGCGTTGAAGCCACTCACCAGATCACATTTCTGAGAAGAATGGGACGCATGATGTTGTTCATGGGGATTTTTTGTGGGAGGTGGACATCACAGGACGTTGGAGCCCAGCGTAGTTCCGCCACAGTTGTTGTAAGTGGACGTGGTCCCGGTGAAGCGTGGAACAGTGTGCAAAGATGGTTTTGAGAGGATAGTTAAGTTTCATGGGCTGGTGGCTTGACTTGCTTTAGTGAAGCCAACTCAAGCCTTTTTAGTGCAAGAAAGTAATAAGTAATGTGTTAGCTGCAATAAAGGATAGCCAGCAGTTTTGGCGGTGACACTCATAGATCAAAGGATGACAGATTGCAAAAGGTGCATGGCAAGAAGCGTGTACAAGGTGAGAAAAGCAATGGCGATGAAACAATTTATTAAAACAAATAAACTGCCAAGATGTTTTCTGTTGCCCAAAGTGTTTTGCTTACCCAAAAACTGATTTCAGAGATGGCCCAACGCAGTGAACATGTGGATGACCTGCAAACCTAAGGAGTTCTATCAGTTTGGCCACTCAGTGAGTTGAGAAAATCCGGGTAGAGGAGGTTTCACTAGCTCAGTGAGTGGCAGGCTCGCGATCCTTCCCAGGAGTTCAGTGGATGACCTGCAAAACCTGTTGTTGTTTTCGACGCGAGTCAGAATTCGGGATGAAACCAATGGTACCCAGAAGAGGCTGGCCGAACCGTTGCACCGTTGCACCTGCCCGCTCTCTAAAGCCCATAGGCTTTTGCAAGACCTTTTCATTTGTAGATATTGGTTGCATTTCTATCAAAGACCGCTGCCTCCAGCAAGGGACAAGAAGCTATTGATTTGTTGTAGTACAATTGTTGTATACCGTAGTTATCATGTGGGTACTCGCGGACCCTCTAAATGGGGGCTCCTCCGATATGTAGCATTTGCCAGGAACTCAATGTTTACTAGGTTATATCACATCAAGAAACCTGTGACTCATATCCAGACCAGGACCCCGACAGGTGGTGAACTGGCTTGTATATAAACTGTTTAAGACATTTGTCTTCTAGAAATTAGGAACCCTCCAATGATCCTTTGCTTCTTATCCGAGTAATGACTGTACTTGGTTTCACCCTTTATGGCTGGCAACCAGCTGTCTGAAATCGCCATAGGAGCACTTGGAACATCGAGGTGGGTGGGCGCGGATGAGGGACGGATCGGGAAGGTCCAAGACACGCCTTACCGGCGCTGAATTGGTTTTGCGCATCGGCTGAATTCGATTGTACCCATCTGGGAAATATGGTAAAATATGGTCTACTTTTCTTGTACTTGTGATAATATGGTAATATGGTACAAATAGGTAATATGGTACAACCCAATTACCCATCTGGGGAATATGGTCTACTTTTCTCCCGGTTTCTTGGAGCCGCAAATCCAAGCACGTTCGCTGGGTTCTGAAGGGTGCAGAACGTGAACCTCCGGGTTGGGCACACCCCAACGGGGGCCGATGTGCGTTCGCGGCGTCGCGGCGCTTTTGGAGCGAAGAGGAGGGCACACCAAGAAGTGACCCTTTCTTTGAAGTCAGTTCACTGTTGACCTTTTCTCTTTCTGGATGAAACAAGACACCTGAGAGGTATAGATTGCGGTCCAAAGCTTTGAGAGAGCAAGGTTTGTCGCTTCATTTGGGGGTCCTCCTCATTGCCCCTCAACTTTGCCTCAATAAAAATTGTGGACATTGAGTCAGCTAATTGTTATTCTAGAAGGAGGAGATGTTGATGCCCGACGCTGCAGAATTCATGCCTTAAGAGTCTTAAGAGTTAGTTCCTGAATCTGAAGCCACATCGCAGGTTGCTGGCCAAGACTTGAGGATTCCGAAAATTGCAGGTTGCTGGCTTCTAGTTTGTTCTAGTAGGGGATCTTGGGCAGCGGATCCTGGCCCGGATTCAGGGTGTTTGAGGGGAACAGCAATGTAGGGCACAAGCGCACTCGTTCAACGCGTTGCATAACACCAGGAGGTGCTGCGCGAGGAGTAGTGGACGCACTCCAGGAGCATGTCTTCAACGAGGACTGCTCTACCTTGGTGGGGTGGATGTGTTGGAAGCATGTGTTGCTGAGGTGCACAAGTAGCCATCGCGTGTTCTGGATTTCCTTTGTGTACACCGTTTGCCTGTCCATGTTTTCTTGGTTTGGAGCGGCTGACCCGGTCGAAAAGAGGAATGGCAACGGTCCAGCGTTGCTGGCCACCGGGTTTTTTAATATCTAGACACGACCCATGGGACTGGAATTGATCTGCGTGCATGGGTCAACAACCGCCTCGTCGGATCTCGAGGTAAATGGATTGTCACGGATATAGCCTCACCAGGCAAAAAAGGAGATGTCTTGCGATCATAGAAAGGAGTCAAATTTTGATGCAGCTTTTAGATTTGCTTCCTTTGTTGGAAGCACTGGCTTAGCTGCTCCAGAAGAACACCAGCACGTTGCTCTTGACCCGTAAAGGATCGGTTTTCAGGTGATTTGTTGCAGGACCTCCTCCAGCTCGGGTGGGAGACATCCTCCCGGTTTCAACACGTGCAAAACGCCACTTCAGGATCTGACCGCTTACGGCGAACGTCGGATGAAGGCGCCAGCCGCACGATGCGCATCGTCACGGGGCGTCGAAGAAATTGAAAGATGGACATGATCCCTAGGGATCCAAACACCTTCTCAAGGTGATTGGAGACACTGTTATGTAGGTGTGGGGGGTCCAATTACCTTCTGAGAAGGTACTTGGATCCTAGGGGATGGAGACTGAGTGAGAGTGAGACTCGTTTGGTGGTCCGGTGGTCCACACTCTTTGACTCAGAGTCATGTTTTTATTTAGATGACTCTGGAATTAAAGTGGGGATGACTGTAGATGACTCTGACTCAGAGCCCCATGTTCTCTCCGAAATTGCAAAGACGCCTGTGGACATACCCTGATACTTGTGGACATACCCTGTGCACCCTCAAAGCTGCTGCAGTCAACAAGCTGAGTGCGTCCTTATAGACTCTGAAGACAATGTGGTAAGCATATATCTAGTACAATGATACTATCATGTCAGTCAACAGTCCATTCCTGCACAGTCCATTCCTGCTGTATGGAACATTCCAATTTATAATTCTTCAGAACGGACCTCTGGAGCCACATTCCATCCCACCCATCGCACCCGACTCGTCGCACGTCCGACTCGTCGCAGGCCATCTCGGTGACTCGGTCGATGAAGCTGAAGCGGGGCACGCTGGCACGGGATCCCGGTCGCCGCAAGAGAAAAGAGTGAACAGACGGAGTCAGGGCGGACGTTTCTCCGCAGCGCTGCAGGGTGGGGAATGTTTTTTGGGTGAAAAACCTATTTTTTTTTGTAAAGCTCTGTTACAGGGCTTAAAGAGTAAGCTGAATTAAATATGTTTTGTTGTTGTTGTCCGAATCAGTTTGAGGTAGTTGTGTAGAGTTCCTCCGTCGCCTCCTGCGGCCGGGACCTCGGTCCGCCCCGACCCCGGTCACCGCCGTCGGACCCAGTTGCACGACTTCTCGGTGGTGCCCTCCGAGCGGCTGGGGCGGATGCCGCATCCCATCGCTCCTCGTCGCGTGAAGGGAGGGATGACGGCGAGAGGTTGAGGGCGATTTTTCGGCGAGACTGGTGAGACAGATGGACTGGTGAGACTGGTAGTGTTCGACCACACTGGAAATTGGGTGGCTTGCTAGTGAATTAGCAAAATTAAAGAGAATTGTATCATTGATCACTAAAAATAAGGATATGTTATATAATGTAATCTGATATAACAATATGCCTAATACTTGCTTTGTAAGACCTGTTAACCAAGCGGCATCCAAATCTATCCAAGCGTATACTGCAATCAATGTTTTGGACGGCAGTTCAGGGGTGTAACAGCTTAGAAGGGTAGAAAAGATCCAAAACCATGGGGATATGTCAATTGCACCCTGACATGACCTCATTTATCCCATCTCCTCTGTAACTAGGCCACGTTCCGAACCATGGCCCAACCCCAAAAAAAGAACACCTCCCAGCAGTCAGAGAGGGATGGTTTTTAGTCCCATCCAGTGAGTGGATGTTCTGGGCACCCCTACCCTCCAAGTTCGGCACCCCGTCTTGTAACTGCTGGTCCAAGCCATTTCGCCATTCAACAATCAACACCGCACACCGCACCGATCCATTCGGGGTGAACTGCCGGCGCGCGAGCGCGGAGCGGGCGCGCGGAGCGGTGTCAGGTGAACGTGGCGCCCAAGAGCTGGAAGATGCCCTCGGTGCCGCGCCAGGCCTCCGCCCCTGCCGCCCGCCGCAAAGCGGGGACGGATGGGTGGGATTTGGGGAGGGGAGACGGACAGGACTCTGAAGGGCAGGGGTGCAGAATTTTATTTGGTGATACTTTTGGGGGGGTTGGCGGTTTTTTGGGGGATGTTTGAACAGTTTTGTGTTGTGTGATGTTTGTTGACAGGTGTTGAAGTTGTGGTGGCCCTGATTAGGGATGATATTGAAGGGATTGATTCGGAGGGATTTGATGCCAGGTTAGCCGCTTCAGTTGGAATCCATCGTTTTCAGTTGGTTAGCCACCTCGGGTCACCCTGTAGGGCCTTGTTCAGCCGATTGGTGGAACCCCATTCCTTCCGCCCAAACCTCTCCAAACCTGACATTGACTCTCCAAACCACCCCCCCAATGAATTGGCAAATGTGTCAATCATCATTGCCACTCCCATGGCTTGGGATCTGAACTCATCCAGACTTGCTAGGCTATCGCGTCAGGAGGGCGCGACGGTATCCCTTTTCTCCATTCGGCCAGCCGTTTGGAGCGACCACGAAAGTTCCCCCAACCTCTTGCTACCCATGGGCTACCTTTGTTTGAAAAGGTCTTTGGGACATGTTTCATTCCTGTTCTCCTGGGGTTTTCCTCCAGCACTACTGCCCACTGCATCTCTCACTCTGAGGCGGGTCTCCTTTCCGCCGCCGAGCGGACGAAGCTCAAGGCGAAGCGCCTGGAGCCCGGCATGGAATCGAGACTCCCCTGCTGCCGAGTCCGAGAGGGAGCCCGTTTTTGTTGCTGTTGTTTGGCCCTGAAGCCCTGCAGGTGTCGCGAGTCGCTGCGAGGTCTAAGGTTTCAGGATTGTTTTGGGCAGAAGAACACTCGGACGAACACATCACATGGTTACGCGGATGGCATGTTGTTCTTGTTGTTGGAAGCCTACTTTCCCCTACAAACAGGGGGTGAACTCCACTTCCATTGTTGGTTATTCCCGGTTTTCCCTGGAGTCTACGTATCATTTGGGCCTTGAGGGGCTACAGATGGTAGGTTCGAGAAACCAGAAATGAGCTCAAGAGTCATCGAAGTAACTACAGTCCTTTTGCTCCCTGACTTGGGCTAATTTGAGCAGGTGTGCAGGTGCTGGTTCTGAGAAGTTGTACCTTGATCCATATGGGGTCGCAGTGACCCAGGATGAGGTGTGGGAAGTGAGTTCAAAGAGTCAGGGTTTGCTTCTCAAGCCGTTAGAAACAGCGAAAGCAGGACATCCATGGCGCCATCCGCCACGCGAACATGCCATCCAACTCGCCCCGCTCCTCGCCACCCCCGACATCGGTCCGTACTGGGCCCCATCGGTTTCCAACTCTGACAGAACTTGGAAGTTCTCAAGCCAATAAACACTATATATTTACAAATAAACATGTATACGATGTGATCCATTTATATATATATATATATATCATCATTTATCCATATACCACTTATTATATAATCTTATACATTATTATATATATTCCCTATGAAACTCATTGGGCTGGAGAGTTTATTGATGTTTATTGGAAGTTCGGTCACGTATGGAAGACGCAGGTACTGTACATACATGTGTGCGGTTTGTACTGCTTCGAAGAAGTAGGTCTTTTTTTCCACAAACCTTAAAGCTTCTATCCCACATCGAAGGTACATTCCACCCAGGATGGTCCATTCCATAATGGGTCTCAAATCCAACAGAGGTGGGTCAGAACTTATACGGACTATCCCACACCCAGACACTCCATGGGACTGCCATCGATGCCTACATTGACTGTTCAACACCACCCCTGGCCGTTTCTGGGCAGTCCCAGGTCGTGAGTCGGTTTGACCTCTCTGGAGCTTCCCAGATCGAAAGGTACATGGCCGCCATGGCCCATCCCGTCTCAGCTCCTCCGCAGGCCATTCAGCGATGGCCCGGGGCGTATAGCCATCTCTCGGCGACGCGGCTGAGCATGTGCAGGAGCAGGAATGCTGTAGGACTCCTCCTAGGGATCCCAAAACCTTTGTTCGGAAGGTCTTTGGGAAGGTGTTTTGGTCCAAGATGGTCCAAGATCGGGCGAAGCTGGTTTCGGGAACTTGGATCCTGGAAGTCCCTGCTTCTTGTAGTCCAAGCCCTCAGAACTCTTGAGACGCTTCTTGGCGTCCCGGTTAGCTATAGATCTTCCAACTATTCAACATGTTTGCCGAGCTTGGCTGGTTTTATGGATGATATGGACAATGGCAGAACTGTTGGACAGTTAGAAGATCCAGGTATGAATCACCACTTGAGCAGGGTATACATCACGATATACTTAAATGGGGAAACCCTCACTGCTTAGGGCCAAGTTGACGATCATGGGGATGGAATGGAAGCAAACAGGCTTGCCCTCTGCAGACGCTGGACACGTTTCACAAACCCAGAAGCCACAAAAGGGGTAGTCTTTCGTCTCATCCAGGGGCTATGGATGTGATGTGACCTTGGCACCCTGATCCTATCCTCCAGGTGTTCGGCATCCAACTCCATGGAACAACTTTGTCATTTCTTTTTGCAAAACAAAACGTCAGAGAGAGAGACAAGATGTTGACAGGTCAAGAGAGTCTACCAGCAGTCTCACACATTCTCATTCAGCCCATCAAGTCCTCTCAGTGCGTCTGCTTGGCCGTTGCTTCGCCTCCACGGATTGTGGCCAGGGAGAGTGGCAGAAACGGTTGAAAATAGCAATAGCATCCGTGGAGTTTCAAATCATCAACGCCAGCGCCGAAGCAATCCATTTTTGAATGATAGAATCATTGTGTGTTTGCCATTTGGATGTGAGTTACAGTTATATACATAATGTCTTTCTGGAACCCCCTTTGCCGCATGCTAGGGGTGGACATGCGCGGTTCTTTCTGAATTGTCCACGTTGGAGACCACCAGCAATGTCCGAGGCGACCTTTCCGAAGACCAGTGGAGAGACGCTGGCCAAGGAGCGCTGGACCGGTGCAGCTTCTTCTATCGGAGAGGCCACCAGGTTGGCCGAAGATGACCAGGTGGACTGGTGGACCGGTGGAGACCTTCCAAGTGGCCGGCTTTTCAGATTTTAGGTTGGAGGCTATCGCTCTTAGGTTGGAGGCCATCCCTATTAGGTTGGAGGCCCCTACTAGGATGTTCGAGGATGGCAAAGTCCAGAGATTCCAGTTCGAGGTCACGAGTCCAGAGACGGTCCTGGTTGGTATCGTGGTTCATTCTGTGATTGATTGCTTCCCAGGGACTGCCTGCGGGACTGCCATATTTGCCTACATTAGGGTGCTTTGGAGGGTCCTGGGGTTGGGTTAGGTTTTCGTGGCTTACGAGCCAAGTCCATGAACGGCCCACGGTCTTTTTTTAACCGGCCTGGCTCGTGTGTCTTCATGTTCATGTTAACGGATGACCCTGAGCTTCAAAAGCATATTCCAAAACCATGTTCCACGAGCACCCTATGCTATGTCCATATTTGGGTCCCTTCATGAATCAACAGTCTATAAGTCTACACACAGACATCCACAGACCCAGCAAAAACCTCGTCCTTTGTTTAACTTGTGCTTTAATAATGATCAGATCAAATCCAGTGAAATCGAGTAAAATGAGATCCTCGACCCCAGCCGGCCCCATCCTAATCGACCCACCGGGTGAGGAGGTGACTACAAACTGACTGATCGCCTTGGTGATGCACGGGGCGAAAAGACCACGGGTGATGCAAGCTTGGTGAATAGCTTTAGGGCTTTGCCAAACAGCAGCGGCCTGGTGAATGGTGTGCATGGTTTCATCAAAATATGTGTGTCTAACAAAGCAATACGTCTTAGTTGTGTGTTTGGTCGTTCAGCGCACTTGGTGTCGCCACGGAGGCTGTCAGAGGAAATGCTAAGTTTCTCCGTCTCTTGTTGTTATCAAACTTGGGATACTCTTTGCGCATGCTGCCATTGCCAGTTTGCCAGTGTTGTGTTGCCGTGGTAGTGTTTTGATTGAAGTGAGTATAATTCAACCAAATGCCCCAAGCTGGGGCGTTCACATCAGCTACTCCCCTTGCATACCCCTTGCATCCAAGAGGACATGTTTAGGACTTCATCAACAACTTGTGAACCTCCAGGGGGTCTCAGATAGACTCTATGTAGCCCCCCAGAAGAAGTCATACACTCCCTGAAAGAGTCATGGGCCATCGTGGAGGGAACACCACCTGTTTGGTATTTGGATTGAAACTGGTCATCCCGTTGGGGCCATGCCATCCACGTTGGCAATTTTTGTGATTTTTTCAGGGAGTGAAAACACAAGCACCCTCCAAGAGGTCTAGAGGGCCTTAACAGGTCTCGATTTGTGATCTGTTGGTCTGAATTTATTATCTGGAGGGTTCTGGTATATCGTATCCTTTCCTTCAACCTCTCCCTTCCAACCAACAACCTTTGCTGTTTCAATACTTGCGTCGCGTGTGTTCGATTGCAAACAAATCCCTCCGAGAAGAGACCCACGTGGAACCTGATGGCATCGACCTGCCAATGTTCCATGTGGGTCCCTTTTGCGTCTCATTACAACCGAGCCAGGAGCTCTTCAAGGCCAAGGGCAACGAAGAGAAGGCCTTGGGCGCCCTTAAAGACCGTCGGGGTACCAACCGTCTCTGCGTCCGACGTTGTTGGACGGCGAAGACAGGGAGGACGAAGAGCGTGTGGCTCGAGCGCCGGCTCTGGATGGTGTGTGTCAGGAGACCTTTGGAGTGCAAACCCCTGGAAGAAGGAACATAGACTCCAACCCGGTGGTAGGGGTTCCCTATTGAAATACAAACCCCATAGGAGTATAGCTGCGGAAGGGAAATCAAGCTATGCAAGAGCAGCATTTCTGGCTTCTCCATGGTTCTGAACCCACCCCAAAAGTTCTTTGGGCGTGTTTAAGCATCTCCCATGTGGTCCAACCTTTGTGTTGGGTGCTTAGGCATGCTTGTAGGCACGGAATATCCCAATCCAAACAATTTGAGACAATTTTCAGTGGCACAAAGAAAGCCATGCATTTGTAACAATTCCTCTATTCACTATAAGGGACATGCATCACAACAATTTCTCTATTTACTATAAGGGATTGTGTACTGCTGTGTTCCCTCTCTTCTGTGCTGCTTTTCGCACCTGTTTTCTCTGCTCCAACGCAGACCGACGCAGACTGACGCTCCGTTCACCTGAGGTCGAGCCGCCAAAACGGTCGGAGTCTCAGTGAGAAGTCTCGGTCGAGAGATGCTGCGAAAGCGGTGGAGCACTTGTTTTTTCACAGACACTCCATAGACAAGTGTGTCAAGACACTCCATTGCCTTAAGGGGATCAGATATTGTAAAGACACAGACACAGACACCTGTCTGGGACTGTTAGTTTGGACTGCCCAGAAACGGCCAGGGGTGGTTGAAAAGGAGTCAATGTAGGTAAATATTCCATACATGGAGATACATGGAGTGCCTGGGAGATATGATGTGATCATATCTATAGTTTAACCCATGTTGAATTCAGTAGGTCAGCAGTATAGTTGACATGGTGAAAGTGTGTTGTTCAATTGTTCGACTACTGCTTGCTGACAACATGGCCACATCATGGTCTTCGACCGTTGAAGAATCGCACCGATCTGCTAGCTTTTGGCACCTTTGCACTCCCAAGTCCCACTCCGCCACGCTTTGGGGAGCGCTCCCAAGCCGTCCAAGTCCTGCCACGCCACCGCACGTCGCTCCTCTCCCTTCGCTCTCGTTGAGGCCGAGAGCGCCGAAGGCCAGAGGTGCGGAACAAATCCTTGGGGGTTCGGCGAATCCGAAGCCGCGGGCTTTCGGCGATCGGTCGGCTTTTTGTGGGGGATTTGTTGGATGGGAAAGAGGGGGGAATAGTTTGGAGGATGCGATTTCCATTGATTTCCCAGATAAAGTCCAATCAATCATGTGTGTTTCCCTTTTTTCCGAGGCATTCGTGCTTTTCAGAAAAGCTCTATCGCTGGTCATGGCTGGTCGAAGAACTGAAGGCATATACACTGATCAGTTTGTGTGGTTGAAAAGGGGTCACTGTAGGTTTCGGCTTGTGTTTGTTGAGCTATGACCAGCTCATGTCTACCAGGCTCCCACCATGCAAAAAGCTTGAAGTGGGAGCTTGCATAGGTGTTCATTTGACACCCCAGTCCTGGTTGAGAGACACCTTCCTGAACGGTGGCCATGACGAGGGTTTCTTGGCGACTTCCCCGTCACGTGAACCCAGACACTCCCTGTATGGAAGAATATGCCAATATGAGTGTCAAAATGTGTCAAATATGCCTACATTCCCCAAACCGTGCCAACTGATCAAATATGGCAGTCAAAGAGACAACCAACCTACCAAGGAGTTCAGTGGGTCACCTGCAGGTCACCTTTTCTGGGGATGACATGGCGACACCCTACAAGACAAGAACTGGAAAGTTGGGTTTCGTGGAATGAGTGAAAACCACCTAGGACTGGTCTTCGGATTGATTTCATGGTCACTCTGGGCCCATGGTATCCCATCCCCATCCACTCAAACACCAATGAGGATGGGAGTGTAGCTGGACCCTCCAAAAGTTTGAAAGTGGGACATGGCCCTACTGTAGACGACAGGTACTTGGTATTCTTTTTCCGAGCTACGAACGGGTCGACTCCAGGTAGTCTTTTGGATCCGCAGGGAACTGGTTCCAAGTGCATAGGCGACGAGCACCAAGGCAAACATCCATGGTGAATGAATTATGGAGTAGTGGGAGAAGACTAAGACTAGACAAAGGATCTCCAGATCATGGCCTCGTTGAGCCTTTTTTGCACGGAAGCCAATCAACCATGATCAACCAGACCACTTGTGTTCATCCAGATTCAACCAGCTGGTTCCAGATTTTTAGCTACAGAATTGGCAAGTGTAGCATCCATTGAACCAGATCGTTGTTTAACCTTTCTGATCGTCAATGATCCTAGCGTGGTCTCAGTGAATGGATGTTAACCGTGAACATGGTGAATGGTTTGAATACGTTCAGTGGTGAATCTGTTATCAAATTGTCTCAGACTATCCATGTACCGAATCGTTAGTTACTGTACATTGGAATGTTGCATGCCACTCTTCCATCCATGGCTGCTCCCCATGAATGCCCCCCCCACCAACATCCCAAAGAGACTCCTCCCAACATACTGCTTGGACTCCAAAACCGCCGCGAGCGGTGGTCCTTTTCCACGAGACCCCCTACGTCCGCCGTGCCCATCTGCCCCGGTCGCCCCGGTCGGCAGGACCTTGCGGCTTCCGGACTTGGCGGTGGCAAGTCCCACCGCCACTTCACCGAGCGCGTAGTCGGTGGTGATGTCGGTGAAGACCGAGCTCGCGTGATGGGCGGATGGCGGCGTTTGATTGGTTGGGCACGTAGTGATGGGTCTCACGTTTCTCCAAGTGGATCTCTTTTCATCTCTTTTCAATTTCTGAGAATTTCTGTATAGATTTACACTATATGTTTGTTTGGCTGGAGGTGTTTGCACGTCGAAAGAAGAGAAGCACTTGTGGCTGGTAATGTTGGACGATTCTTTCTGTATGATGTTCAGTTTCGTAATGAGTTGCAGCAATGTGCAGCATGAGCACCTTCTTCAAAAAGTCAACGAAGACGAGATTTATGATTTGTTTGATCGCTTTAGATTTTGATCAGGTTCTAGGTAGTTGTCCCAGAATGTAACATGAACAAATATCCTTCCAATGTGTTGGAGTATCCTCGATTGTTAAGCCAGAGCCCATCACGTCCCATGTTGGACGAGGCAGAGGTCGTTTCACCAGAATAAGTGGATTGTTTTGTGAGTTGTTGTTTCTCAGAACCTTGGATTGGCTGTCCGTGGCAAACTCTTGTCAGTGGAAGTTGCATGAGACAATGATTCAACATGTTTGTCATACAATTTGGAAGAAATTTTGACACATGCCCCACCTGGTGGTTCTTGCTCGAGCACCATCAGGGTGGCCATTTTGGAAGGCTGCCAACGCACCCTTTCAAGCAAGACATCATGTCAACCAATGGGCTGATGGGACATCAGACTAGGTCGAATCCTCGACTAGGTCAAAAAAATTGAGAGGCCAGGCTCGGACGCAGAAGGAAAACCCATGGACCAACGAATGAATTAATTAATTTTGGTGGTGTTTCCCACCTTTCCAATGAATAGTGGCTATATAGGTAGTGGCAAATACCATGAATCATGAATGATCTATGTAAGGGACTTCTCTTCCAGGTGAACTGGCCGTACCTTAGGGCTGTGTGATATTAATAGCGCTTTTAGAGACATCGGCTGATGGGTGTTCCGAACCTTCCTAGGGGGTCGGAACGCCGGCGGTTCGGTCTCCCACCTCGCTACGAGTGTCTTGCGCCACTCGTGGCGCCTGGCTGCCTGGCTGTTCGGGTGTTCGGGTCGCTCCCCATGGATCCAATGGACCCCCCCAGGAGGCGAAGAAAGGAGGCAAACAGCCAGGGACTGGAGTTCACCAGCCAGGGGGCATGTGTTTTTGTTTTTGTTTTTTCCCATGCCAAGGTTCTAGATTACATCTAGATTCTCAGTGACAATCCACGACACCTTCAAGACCCACTTACTTAAAACTTCACCCTCCACATGTCACATGCTTGATGCCTTAGTTCATGCCCTCGGAATCAAAGATTGCATCTCCGATGGGATGGATCGGGTGCCCCCTCGTTCCTTGATCGGTTGAAGCAACGAGAGAAGATGCCCACTGGTTTGACACGCGGGCGAGCTGGCGACAGAAAGTTGAGTGGTTCGTTCCTGCATCAAAAACGACACTGGGATGTCTTTCCCAAGGGCCAGGGGTGTGTGGCAGTGAATCTTCAGAGCAACGGGCTCCATGCTCCATGAATGACATATTTTTACGTTGGGGTGGTGTCAAAGCTGCATACATGGAGTGTTAGCAAGATTCCCAAGGTTCTGGCACAGATCTCGTTTTCAGTCATGAATTCGTGTTGTTGACCTATTGTGTCAAGATGCTCTCTTTTCAACTGCAATCTTGCGTTACCAAAAACCGGCTAAGTCAGGAATCCTTCCACACCGGTGTCCAGCTACGGCCAGTTGACCTGTTTTTAGAAAATTCCTTTATACATACTAGTCGATGGTAGTATTTGTCATTGGTCACCATCCATTGGGGGGATTGGAAGGTCAGTTTGCGCTTGAACCTTGAAGGATGCTTGAACCTGAGAGGAGGCTTTAGGTCCTTTTCATTCCCAAGTGTGCTAGGTGATTTCTAGTCAATCGAGTGTTGTGCTAGAGACAGCTCAAAAAATAAGTGCACAAATACCAAGAAGTGCATGATGAGTTGTTCGTTGGTTGTAATGGGGAGGTTGGGGTGAGAAGAAGATGGCTTGATGGCATTTTGAGCAGTTATATTGTGAAACAAGAGCCGGAGTAATACCTACTCCCCCTGCACAAAATGCGATGTCAGTACTAATTTTCTTGCATAGGAGACTAAGATCCTGCAAACAAATTGGCATTGGGGCAAGATCATCACAAGGCTCCTACCCATGACTACAATGCGGTAGAGGCCCAGGGATGTGGTTTTTGCATGATTTATGTTCATTATGTTTTTAGTGTGGATGTTAAAAAGTGAGACACACTATCCAACCTTTCCACAAGAATGTTCCGCATATGTCCCCCAAACCCAGCCAAATCGGTGTTTTCTTGAAACCTCCATGCCAAGCCTGCCACCAGACCTGGGGATTCCGTGAAATCCGCCAGGCATGGCGGTTGCCTGAGACGTCCATCGTGGGGTACTGGGGTTTCTTGGAGCTCGGTACTGGGTGGGTTCGGTCATGGAGCCCCTCCGCAAGATCCGAACCTCCGGGGGTCGGGTCAACCGGTCCTCTCGTGACCAGGTTGACCCTCCGGTCCCGATCGTCCTTGCCTGGGTCTCCGGTGGTCGCAGGATTCGCACCATGTTGAATTACTACCAGAGAAGTAGCGAACGCGAAGCTCGCTACTTCATGAGCAGTGAGGAGCACACAACAGGTGACTGTTTGGGTTGCTGAATTTGCCCGTTTCAGAGCAAGCGTTGTGAAGGGGATGGATGTACAAGGAACTGAATCCAGCTATGGCTATGATGAAAAAGCTCTAGTTGTCTCTGAAGCGTTTGTCGATGGAGGCTTGCGTCCGACACCATGCTGGGACGGCTTGGACCGCGGGTCCATGATGTTGCTTGCAAGTTGACCCGAACGAACGTGCTTCCTTCTATACGGTTTCCGCATTGATGAAGTGACCTTGCTGGACATTCGACTGATATGCAGGGCTGCTGGACGGCGAGACTGCTCTGTTGCCTTTTCTGCCCACCATCGGCCGCACTCGGTGAGTCTTCGTTGCAATGTATGAGGAGAGCACCGTGAATGTCAAGCTCGGACCTGAACGCTGTGGATGCTCGTTGTCCAAGTTGGGTAGCGTTTGGTAAGTTTGGTGAGGCCTTTTTGGCCGCAGACGCTGGCTTGGTCATGTTTTTTTCTTGATCTAATCTATAGCAAATCTAGCGGGTCCACCACCTCTCTACGTGGAAAGGTGTTGTTTAAAGTCCTGTGCTGCGTGAGGTTGTGTACTCGTCGGGCAAATGATGGTCTTAGTGACGAGGAAGGGCTGTCATTCCTGCGCCTGCTGGCTTGGAAAGGACAGATTGGACCGTGATTGCGTTGGGCAGCAACAACAGGAGGACAACAGTCGTTGTTCATCTCTGATGTGTGGAAAGCCACGCACGAAAGACAGGTTTGGCTTTTGAAAGCTGGGATGCAGTGTATTTGCGTGGTCACAGTATGCCAAGTGGAACCGTTACCTACCCTCTCTGGAACAATCATGGAAGAGAAACATGGTCATCCAAGGGGCCCTCTTCCACTTCCATCATTGTTCCAGGGAGAGTATTATTTTCATATTCCAGAAGAATAGTGTCAGAAGTCCTTGTTCCATGAAAACAAACCCAAGGACCGGAGTCCTTGGCAATCTGACCAGAAGAATCGGAAGAGGAAACACGTTTGTGCATTCTTGTGTGGCGACAGCAAGATTTTTCCTTATGCAGCACGACGTGAAGTAAACAAGCCAAGTGATTGAGAAGTAGATGTACGACTGGATCACGTGTACAGCAGATTAAATCCCTGCTGAGTTTGCTTGGTTTTACTTGCTTTGATCAAACAGAAACAGTGTTCAAAGAAACAAGGAGCCAGGCTTTACTGGCTCTTTGGACTTGTAGGAAATTATGCATGTTGTATATGAAGCATTGACACCATTGCTCCATCAATCCTATTTGATCATGGAAGGGATACAGTTTCTCCAATCTGCTGTGGAAACCTTGAAATCAGAACAGCCACCCTGAGAAATGAGGCGCTATTTCCGATTCATTATATATTTCTTATATGTTCGAGGTTATGCTACGTCATTCTCCATCAACACTGGAGAACAAACATCCCGTCCTGTTAAATGGCAGGTCTGGTGCTTGTTGAAACTGTTGGGGGCAGTGCCTTGCTGCAACATGTGCTTCGATCGATTTGGGAACTCCTGCATGCTGTCACCCGCGGCCCTGACCCGCAGCTTCAGGCTGTGCCTTTGTCGACGGGAAAGAGTCCAAGATTTCTTGGTGTGGATGCTCAAGGTCTTGTGTTTGTTTGGAGCCATTCATAGTCATCGGTGGGTAGCGGGTGAGAGAATGGGAATGAATGGGTCGTGACATGTTTGTGTGCAAATGTAACAACCATTCAGAGATGGCCTGGGATGAACATAATATGAGAATCAAACCTCTATACACTCCATACATGGATGTTCTGAAACCTGGACTCTGAGTATCAAGCCTTGCTCCAGAAAGCAAACCCTAGGCAATAAACAAAAGCATCCCACATCGCTTCAACTGCTAGGGTAGCTAAGCACCATATATTTTATGACCCTGGCCTATTCCAGTCTATTCCACAATTTTTCCTTTAATATATAATATAGGAGTATACCATTATATAGGTATATTTGTAGCACAAATCCCTACATGATCTATCCGAATTAAAGGGTTTCCAAAAGCATTCCCTTTTAGGCTTCCAATCATGGTCCAGCACGCTTCCAGCACGCATGGCATCACACCTTCGCCGGCCTCGGCATCGCGAACATGCTTCTCTTTGCCTCGCTTCAGTGGCCGAGAGGAGTCGAATAAGCGTTCAACAGAGAGCCCCATTGAAGAACCCTAGGGAAGAAACCCTATTCAACAGAGGTCGAAGGCATGCAGACTGGCATGCAGAGGCGATTCCAATAGAAGCTGACGTGGATGTGGGGTACAAGAGCAGCGTATTGACCCCAATTAAGGCTCCAAGTACCTTCTGAGAAGGTGTTTGGGGTGGGTTTGGAGGGTCCAAATACCTTCTGAGGAGATACTTGGAGTACGGTGACGGAGTTTGGAGT